CTCTCCCTGTAGGCAGACCTTTACAGGAATTTCAGTTTTAATCTGAAGTTATTCACTAAATGTGGAAGCAAAAGGAAATAATTGGATGAGTTAAGAAGTGTGTCTGTCACATAGTACGAACTCAGTAAATCTTAGGTGTTATTATTATTACTAATACTCATCTGCCTCAGAGGAGAGAGAAACCATGAATCCCCTAAACGAACATGAAAAGTTCATGTATATACATACGTTCATTTTTCTGGGAGAGAGTCTATATCTTTTATTAAATTATCCAAGTGTTAGTGACCTATAAGAAACGTGAAGAACCATCAGTTCTACACGAAATTCTCCACAGAATCCTGAACACCTTGATGGAGCAAGTAAAATTTGAATTGGCGTGATATTCTCCCAGAGCTAAGGTTGTTACAGTATGTGGCAATTTTGGTTAAGTACAACCTCTGTTTGAGTCACTTTTTAAAAAAAGATTTTATTTATTTATTTGACAGAGAAAGAGATCACAAATAGACAGAGAGGCAGTCAGAGAGAGGGGAAGCAAGCACCCCGCTGAGCAGAGAGCCAGATGTGGGGCTCAATCCCAGGACCCTGAGACCATGACCTGAGCCAAAGGTAGAGGCTTAACCCACTGAGCCACCCAGGTGCCCCGTTTGAGTCAGTTTTGAGGACATTTTATTTCCCATGATATCTTTCCTATTTTTTTTAGTACTTTTGCACATTCTATAATTTATTTCCCCATTTAGTTCATTCAAAATCTCCCTTTGGAGATAACTTTTTTTTTTTTTAAGATAACATTCCTAACATTCAGACCCTTCACCTGGAGTCATCAGTAACAAGCAGTAGTACATATTCTTTTTTGTGCATAAGGTATCACATTGGTCACAGCAAACAGTAATTTGCTAAGAAAAAATCATGGCTATGCTTCTAAAAGCTCCACATTCCTGCTGTTCTTTAGATGATCAGTAAATGAGGTGGGGGGGATAGGATTACTTGAATTAGAGAGAAATTCTGTCTCCTTTTACATTTGCCTTTCGGTCAGAACACCCTTCAAAAGCTCCTTGAATTATATACCTTCTTTGGAGATGTGTATCCAGAATGTAGACCAGGGACACCCAAATTGTCCTCCCCTCTATTCATTCAGCAATATTTATACAGTACCTTTTACATTATACACACTTTTCTAGGAGTTACACAGCTGAATAAGGATTTGGACTATAGTAGGGGAATGAGACCTATAAATTAAAAATCATAATGCGGGGGTGTCTGGCTGGTTCACTTGGTGGAGCATGCGACTTTTGATAGCAGAGTCATGAGTTTAAGCCCCACGTTGGGTGTGGAGCCTACTTAATTAAAGAAAAATTACAATGTAGTGTGCTTTCACAGAGGAATATACAGTGGTATGAGAGCACAGACGGGAAGGCTTCACTCTGTTTCAGAGGACCAGGCAGGGTTTCCAAGAAGGGCTGACACTGGATGGGTGAGTAGGAGCTAAATGAACAAACACAGTGGGAAAGGGGCTTTTGTTTACAGGGAATTGTGTGTGCAAAGGCATCAAGGTGTAAGAGGATTTGTTGGAAGAAGGAAAAAGCAGAGTTTGAGAGGGAAGAAGGAAGGGATGACTACAACTATAGAAAAGTATTTAAGCAGCAGATAGAAAGAAGGGGAAATTGAGGGAGGTTCTTCCTGAGAACACTCATTTCTTTTTTACAAAGAAGCACGCTTTGTCGGGGTGCCTGGGTAGCTCAGTCTGTTAAGCATCTGCCTTTGGCTCAGGTCACGATTTCAGGGTCTTGGGATAGAGTCTCACATCGGGTCAGGCTCCCTTCTCCGTGGGGAGTCCTCTTCTCCCTCTGCCTGCCCTCTCCCTCTCTTGCAAAAATAAATAAAATCTTAAAAAAAGAAAATGGTGGGAAAAAAAAAAGAAAGAAAGAAAAAGGTGGGGGACACCTGGGTAGCTCAGTCATTGGGTGTCTGCCTTCAGCTCAGGTCATGATCCCAGGGTCCTGGGATTGAGTCCCATGTCAGGCTCCCTGCTCAGCAGGAGGCCTGCTTCTCCCTCTTCCACTCCCCCTACTTGTGTTCCCTCTCTTGCTGTCTCTCTCTGTCAAATAAATAAATAAAATCTAAAAAAAAAAAAAAAGACAAGTTTTGTCATCCAAGATAAAGGGACAAGAATGGAAAAGGGGGCTTAAGGAGACTAACCAAGCTCATAGAGGAGAATTACAAAGCAGTACTGAGAGACCATCTGTGAGAAGCAGTAACATAGCTGTTGAAACTTCTCTTCACCATGTAGCTTCTTGTCTCCTCTTGATAGAAATTTCTCATTGGTCTACCTTCTGTGGCAGCACCAATCTTTCTACAGTCCAATATTCTCCTTGATATTTTTGTAACTTCCATATCTTATCTTCAAAAATATTTTTGAGCACGCACTATGTAGCTGGTTGCTCCAATGTTAAATACAGTGTTGTCTGCCCTTAAGGAGCCTAGTGACAGGTAATAGAAGAGAGATTGAAGGGAAATATAAAAGGTGCATAATAATAGCACTAAAGGCACAGTATGAAAAGTGCATTAAGGAAATGTAAGTATAGTATTTGCAAGTTCAGAGTCCTAGCCCTGTTTGATATCATCAGGACCCATCTGTATAGAACCATAGGATTCTTTTAAGACCTTGAATAGGATCACCTGGAAAATTTAGAGCCATTCCATTAAGAGTGACGTTGATCTGAAAGCGTTACATACACAACTCAGGTTTAGCTATTTCATCCAACTGAGTTCACATTATTGTTTTACTACCCCTTCAGCTGCCTGCAAAAAGCACGCCTTCTGACTTCTTTTTTTTTTAACTTTTATTTATATTCCACTTAATTAACATTCTGTGTAAAATTAGTTTCTGCTGTACAATTTAGTGATTCAACAAGTCCTTGCATCGCCCAGTGCTCATCACAGGTGCCCTCCTTAATCCCCATCACCTATTTAAGCCGTTCCCCACCTCTCTCCTCTGGTAACCATCAGTTTGTTCTCTATAGTTAAGAGTCTGTTTCTTGCGGGCGCCTGGGTGGCTCAGTGGGTTAAGCCGTTGCCTTCGGCTCAGGTCATGATCTCAGGGTCCTGGGATTGAGTCCTGCATCGGGCTCTCTGCTCAGCAGGGAGCCTGCTTCTCTCTCTCTCTCTCTCTATCTATCTACTTGTGATCTCTCTCTGTCAAATAAACAAATAAAATCTTTAAAAAAAAAAAAAAGAGTCTGTTTCTTGGTTTGCCTCTCGTTTTTCCTGCTATGATCATTTGTTTTGTTTCTTAAATTCCACATATGAGTGAAGTCATCCAGTAATTGTTTTCCTCTGACTGACTTATTTCACTCAGCATAATACTCTCTAGCTCCGTCCACGTCATTGCAAATGGTGCTATTATGTATTTCCCAATGGACACAAAAACACTAATTCGAAGGGATTCATGCACCCCGAGGTTTATAGCAGCATTATCAACAACAGCCAAGTTATGGAAAGAGGGCCAATGTCCATCAACGGATGAATGGACAAAGACGTGGTATATAGCCTTCTAACTTCTTAACTGCTGTCCCTCTCAATGGCCTGGCTACTACTTTCTTGATGATAGTTCACTCCAAAACCAACTTTCTGTGTCTATTTCAACACTGGACCTACCGAATTTTAACCAGTCCTATCCAGCCCCAGCCAAGGATCTTCTGGTCCTAACTCCTGAGCCATTTAAACAAGCAGCAGTTTATAAGCAAATTCCTGCTAGTATCAGCTGACTCCTTCACCAGAGAACTTCTTATTCACCAAGAAGCTCTCATCCCCACCACCCTGCTACCTACTCAACCTCCTGCCAGTCAGCGACATCCTTATTACACCATGCCTCATGCTTAGAGTAACCAGAATCCTGAGCACACTCATGAATCAAGCAGAGTTTAAACTGACTTGTAACCGTATTCTCCCAGAGCTGAAGTTATTAGGCTATGTCCCAGTTTATTTTGATCAAGTATAACCTGTTAGTCTATATTTAGTTCCCCTTATTGATGATTTCAAAGCCTAGGTTTTCTTCTGCATCAACAGGGATGAGTATGTGGGGGTCTTTTCCTTTCATTCTTTTGACTGATGATTTTCCTATGTTGATACACTCTTGCATTTTTAAAATAAATCCTCCTTGGTCATGATGTATAATCCTTTTAATATGCTTCCAGATTTGGTTTGTTGGCATTTTGTTGATGATTTAAAGCACCTGGGCTTTTTTTTAAAGGATTCACAATTAGGGCTATTAAGGACCCTTCACTTCTTGCCAAGTGAGTGTTAGTACCCTAGTGTGTATATATCTCAAGATGAGTGTCATAACTCGTGCAATCATAATATATTTTTAAAATTCACACATAGTCAAAACTTATCTCTTCTGTATCCTCTTTTAGAATAATAAACTTTGAGCATCAGTGATAAAGACAAAGACATTTCCAAGATTATTCTCACTGCAAATTCATAACGAGTGCAGCATTGAAGGCTTCCAACATATAGTTAATGAACAAGAAGGAGGTTCTCAGTCTGCTTTCAGTTGTATCATGACCCCATAGGGATAACTGGGCATTTCTTATTCATTAGACTAAAATAGTGTTTGGCATATAGTAGGCCATTAGTAAAGATTTCTGATAAATGAATGAATGAATAAATAAATTCGGTCTTGGTATTTTGTAAAGAAGAAAAATTGCTTACCCCCAAGTATTATCCTAAGACAGTGAATAACATAGTATTTGTGTTTTTTTCCTTTTAAAAAAGCAATCAAATTGTGAACTTTACATCAGGAGCCTGAATGGGATGGCAAGGGGGTATATGACAGCTCCAAACCATACCCCACTCCATAGTTAATGAATGAGTCCCTGCTTCCTTAGAACACACACCTACCCCATCTCCTGCTGTGATCCAGAGAAAATTTGCCTTATAATTGCAGATTTTCTGTATATAGTTCCTATGATGAAACCTGAAAAAGTGTTTTATTATTTTAGTTTTCAGGCAGACCCCAAAAAACCCATTGGGGGACACATCCTGGCTCATGCTTCAACAACAAGAATAAGCTTGAGAAAAGGAAGAGGAGAACTGAGAATTGCAAAGATTTATGACAGGTAAATATTTTCTTATTTTTAATCAGATTCTTGGGCATATGGCATTAATTAGAATTGCCTCTCCTCAGAAGCTTTAATTTTTAAAAAATGTTTTATTTATTTATTTGACAGAGAGAGAGAGATCACAAGTAGGCTGCGAGGCAGGGAGAGAGAGAGGGGGAAGCAGACTGCCTGCTGAGAAGAGAGCCCAGTGCAGGTCTCAATCCCAGACCCGATCCCAGACCTGATCCCAGACCCTGAGATCATGACCTGAGCTAAAGGCAGAGGCTTAACCCACTGAGCCACCCATGCGCCCCATGAGAGGCTTTAATTATACCACTGGCAGATCCTACATGTTTGAATTTCCTTCTCAAAAAGTATTTACTCTGGGTCGCCTGGGTGGCTCAGTTGGTTAAGCAACTGCCTTAGGCTTAGGTCATGATCCTGGAGTCATGGGGTTGAGTCCCGTATTGGGCTTCCTGCTCAGCAGGGAGTCTGCTTCTCCCTTTGATCCTCTCCCCTCTCCTGTGCTCTCTCTCTCTCTTTCTCTCTCTCAGATAAATAAATACAACCTTTAAAAAAAAAAGTATTCACTCCATTGGGAAGTCCCTACTACAGACTAGGTTCTAGGGATTAAAGGATTCTGTTGATGAATAGACTTGGTTCCTGACCTTCCAAAGCTTATGGTGAAGCTAGATAGCCAAAGAATGATTCCAACTGAGGTTTGGTCAGTGCGGGGAAAGTACAGAGTATGACAGAGAAATATTCTTCTCCTTTCCTCTGCCAGATTTGTTTTTTGGGAGTTTTGTTTTGTTTTGTTTTATAGGTTTCAGTTTAAACATCACTTCCACAGGGAACTTGTCCCTAACCCTCCGGTCTAAGCTACACTATATTGTAATTTATATTCTTTCATGATATTTTACTTATTTAATTAAGAATTATAAACAAGGGGGCGCCTGGGTGGCTCAGTGAATTAAAGCCTCTGCCTTTGGTTCAGGTCATGATCCCAGGGTCCTGGAATCAAGCCCCACATCGGGCTCTCTGCTCAGCAGGGAGCCTGCTTCCTCCCTCTCTCTCTGCCTGCCTCTCTGCCTACTTGTGACCTCTGTCTATCAAAAGAATAAATAAAATCTTTAAAAAAAAAAAAAGAATTATAAACATGGGGCCCTTGGGTGGCTCAGTGGGTTAAGCAGCTGCTTTCGGCCTGGGTCATGATCCCAGGGTCCTGGGATCCAGACCCACATTGGGCTCCAGCCCCATATTGGGCTCCCTGCTCAGCAGAGACCCTGTTTCTCCCTTTCCCTCTGCCCACTGCTCTGCCTACTTGTGTGCTCTCTCTATCTCTCTGTCAAATAAATAAGTAAATTTTCTTTTTAAAAAGAATTATAAACAACAAATTTTTACAAGAGATATACACCAGCTGTTCTGAGTTCTGGGAATAGAGCAATGACTAAAAGAAAAAGACAAGGCCCTCATGGAGCTTATATTCCACTGGCAATGATTTATATACTGCATGCCATCCATGCTAGACCCCAAATACCCAGAGGACAGGGACCCGATTCTCTTGCTCACTGCTGTATTCCCAGTACCTGACACATGGTAGATGTACAATATTTGTGATTGACTGATTAGCCAACCCTGATCAACAAGGCAAAGATTTGTGATAACTATACTACGGAGGAAAAATCAACCAAAAAGAAATTACATGAGCTCTTAATCTGGTATTTGCTACGAATCGCAGTACTTATTATGGGCTGTCACTGAATAAATATTAAATAATCAGTTCTCCCATCTGACTGTTATTTAGACCATTTTGCTTTTTGTGACCTATCCCTGTAGGCTATAATATACAAATGCTGTATTTTATGGATTTCAGAAATCTCTAGAAATTTGCTATGAATATGCTTTGTTGAATTCAATAGGTAGTAAGATTGTTCCATCTTTTTACTACAATTTCTTGGTCTGTATCTTAGATTGCTGTGCTTAGAACTTTCCTAGGAGTGCCTGTGTGGCTCAGTTGGTTAAGCGTCTGACTCTTGGTTTCTGCTCAGGTCATGATTTCTGGGTGGGGAGATGGAGCTCGGGCTCAGCTTGGGGTCAGGCTCCCTGCTCAGCAGAGACTCTGCTTTCCCTGTCCCTCTCCCTCTGCCCCTCCCCTCAACTCATGCACACACTCTCTCTGTCTCTCTGAAATAAATAAATAAATAAATAAAATACTTTCCTAAACAGTTTTCACTCTGAATTGCATCAGCTGATTCCATGTAAATCTCCCTCACAGCAGGGACTGAGTCTGATTCACAAATGTCCCCAGCACCAACATGGTACTTGGCACATAGTAGGAACTCAGTAACTATTTGTCGAATTAACAAATGAACACCATCTACATGTGCAGTCATTCGCATATTTTATCAAATCCTCCATATTTGCAGGACCAAGTAACTCCTACAGTTCTTACAGTCTTGAGAGAATACGAGCATTCTGCAGACTCAATAAAGGATTATTAAAGGGATCGTAGAGGTTAGAAATTCAAATTTCCAAAAATTTGAATTAAAACAGCAAAACTAGTCGGAGCAAAAAGTGTCAAAACTTAGCTTGCTGTGCAGCATGTCCTCCCTTCTTTCTGGTTCCTTAAGATTTCCCGCGAAGAATTCTTGACTTTAGAGAAAACTTTTTAGTTGAGAAGTTGATGGTGCTACTTAATCATAGCTAATACATGTTGAGTGGCTGCTGCATACTAGGCCTTCCAGCAAGCACTTTATTTATATACATATATATGTATATCTTTATAAAATATATAATTATATATAATATATTTTTATAATTTTATATAAAATATAAAATTTATAATTTCTATCATTTATATAAATCATATCTGTAATTATATGTAATATAATTATATATATATTTCATTGTTTATGACAACAACTCTAAGAGGTGGGGGTCATTATCCCTGTTTTCCACATGAGCAAACCAAGGGCTCAAGCAGCTAGGTAGCCACTGTCCCTTTACAGTCTATTTTAAACACAGAAGCCAGAGTGATCCCTTATAAAATTGAGTCAGATGATATCTGTCCTCTGCTTAAAACTCTCCAGTGGCTCCCCATCTTAACTCAGAATAAAAGCTCAAGTCTCTGTGATGGTTTACTTAGCACTACGTGCATGTCCCTATCCTTGTCCCTGCTCTCCCTCTCTCACAGCACTGCGACCTCAGTGGCCATATGATGTTCTATAAATGGGCCAGGCGCAGTTCTACCTTAGGGACTTTGTACTTGCCTAGAATCATCTTTCCCCACGCAGCCCTCATTCTGGTTATCATTCTCCACCCCTCCAATCTTTGATCAAATAGTACCTTCTCCACCACACCTGGCTAGATCTCCCTATTTAAAATCGCAACTCCTCCCAGTTTCCACACTTCTACTGTCCCTCACCCAGCTCTGTTTTTATCTTTCCCCATAACACTTACCATCTTCAAACATATTACATAATATATATTATGTTCATTATTTATTATCTGATTCTTCTTCTCCCAAGATATAAGTTCCACAAGGACAGGGATCTTTGTCTGTTTTTTTCACTTCTAGATTTCAAGTACCTACAACAAAGATTTAGCAGGTGCCTAATAAATATTTTCTTAGTGAGCGCATGAATGGCCTTGCCCAAATCACACAATCAATAAAAGATGGAACCAAGATTAGAATCTGTACTGTCTGAATCTAGGGCCAACACTTTTAATCATTACACTATTTCTTAGTTTGTTAAAGATGCTCTATTTTGGACAGTCATAGCATCTGTTACAGCTAGTCCCATGCCTTCAACTACTAACTTACACAGATGTAAGGGAAAGACAGTTCTCATTCAAAGAAAACACAGAATTCTCGAGGAATAGAGCAGAAAAGGGCTATCAGAAGAATTCCCAGATATATAGGAATGACTACGAAAACAGACAAAGCTCTTTCCCTAAAGTGTCACTATAGTTTATAGCTTCCATAAGTAAATATAGCTGGACCCCAGTATGCATTTTTCTCTCTTTAAAACTTTTTTTGGGGTGCCTGGGTGGCTCAGTGGGTTAAAGCCTCTGCCTTCAGCTCAGGTCATGATCCTGGTGTCCTGGGATCGAACCCCACCTCGGGCTCTCTGCTCAGCAGGGAGCCTGCTTCTTCCTCTCTCTCTACCTGCCTCTCTGCCTACTTGTGATCTCTGTCAAATAAATAATAAATAAAATATTTTTTTAAAAACTTAAAAAAAAAGATTTTATTTATTTATTTGACAGAGAGAGAGAGCACAAGCAGGAGGAGCAGGAGGCAGAGGCAGAGGGAGAAGCAGGGTCTCTGCTAAGCAGGGAGTCTATGCAGCGCTTAATCCCAGGACCCTGGGATCATGACCTGGGCCGAAAGCAGTCGCTTAACTGAATGAGCCACCCAGGTGCCCTGCTCACTTTAAAACTTTTGAGTGAAGAAAAAAAAAACCCATTTATTTTATTCCATTTAGCATATTTGAGATTGATGGACATTAAAAACAACTCAGGGCGTCTGGCTAGCTCAGTGGGTTAAGTGGCTGCCTTTGGCTTGGGTCATGATCCCAGGGTCTTGGGATTGAGCCCCGAGTCGGGCTCCCTGCTCAGCAGAGCCCCTGCTTCTCCCTTTCTCTCTGGGATCTGATTCTCCTCGGGCCTTCTTACCCAGCTCTAGTTTTAGTTTAGCAAGACCGGCCTTATTTATAGCCCATTTGCTATCCTCAGGGGAGGCCCCCCTACTATTTCCTAAGGGAAGTAACCTAACCCATAGTGTGCTCAGAATACAGTGCCTAATCTCCACCCCTCTAACAAAACAAAACAAACAAAACCAAAAAACAAAAATCAGCTTTGAGAGGCAGTAAAGTCTGGTGGTTAAGAACATGAGCTTTGGGGACCCTTGGGTGGTCAGTTGGTTAAGTGTTTGCTGTTTGCCTTTGGCTCAGGTCAGGGTCCCAGGGTTCTGGGATCAAGTCCCACATCAGGCTCCTTGCTCAGCAGTAAGCCTGCTTCTCTGTCTGCCTGTCCCTCCCCCTGCTTATGCTCTCTCTCTCTCTGACAAAAATAAATAAATAAATAAAATAAAAATAAATAAATAAATAAAATCTTAAAAAAAGAAGAAGAAGAAGAACATTGAGCTTTGGAGTCAAATAATTTAGTCTCCAATCTGGCACTTTCCTTTACTAGCAATTGTGACTTTGGGCAAATTACTTCTCTCTGAACCATGATTTTTCTCATCTATAAAATGGAGATAATAATGCATACCCAAGAGTTCTCATAAAGTTAAAATAAAATCATAAAGAAGACCAACATGTAGTAAATTAGTAAATACTTAATAAATGAAAGCTATTAATGTTACTAAACAGTCACCATAACCTGAATATAATAATAACATAAAGTAGCACTGGCTCTTTCTCTCAGGATCAGTGATTTTCAAATTTTTATTTATTGTTTAGTTTACTTGAGTTTTAGATATTTGTTTCCAACTGCTTATAGAACTCCTCTACAGGACTATCACTCAGGTACTTCAAACACAACATACCTAAACCCAACTTCTTATTCTTTTTTTCTTTTGTTTTGTTTTGTTTTTTTAGATTTTATTTATTTCTTTGAAAGAGAGAGAGAGAGAGAGCACAAGCATGGGGGTTGCAGGGGGAGAGGGAAAAGCAAACTCCCCACTGAGCAGGGAGGCTGATGTGGGCTCTATCCTAGGACCCCAAAATCCCAGGACCCTGAGATCATGACCTGAGCCAGAGGCAGATGCTCAACCGACTGAGCCACCCAAATGCCCCATTCTTCTTTCTTACCTATTAAACAAGTATCTAGTTCTCTGTTTTTGTTCATACTATTCCCTCTGCCTTGAATACCCCCATTTCTGCCTCAAAAAGCCTCTATGAGGCTTTATATTATCTATGAGTCCTTTCCTAATCAACCTTACTGGTATAATCAACCTTTCTTTAGAGTTCTGTAACATATATATTGACTTTATGAAATTTATCTTACTTTGCATATTTGTCATACGTCATACATAGTTCACCTGTTAGACATCTTGAGAGCAGGGACTCTGTCCCATTTTTGTGAAATCTGTAGTATCTAGTACCTTCTAATGTATGATTTTCAGAAGTTGAAAAATGACTTTCTTGCAAATAAATACAAAATAAAAGTGTGTCAAAAACTTGATTCAACTCAAGTAATGAAGAATCTTATTCAAAGGATAGTTTGACAGAGATTTGTGTAGTCAATCAGAGGAATGCAGAAATAAATTTGCAGATAGATGAAAAACTGGTTAATATCTTACAAGGCAATCAATTGTAACCTTTGAAGTTGTTTTCTTTACTGGAGGGAAATCAGTTGCTTCTCTACACAGTGAAATTCATTTCCAGTGCTATAGACTGCAATCATCTGCATCACCCACAGACAGGAATTGCCCGCATTGCTGTCAGTTTTCCACAAATTAACCTCTATTCCTACGGTGTTGTAGAAAAAAGTAAAAGGTAAAATCTAATAGATCATATAATCACATACAAATATAAAATGTCAAAGATTTTATTTACTTCATTAATTAGTGCAGGAACTAATAAGATTTTTATAACCAGATCAAAGAAAAAATCAAATTAACACACATATGGAGCCAAATAAGGAATGCTAAGTGAATTAGAAATTGACCAAAAACGGATCAAAATCCATAGGACAAGAATCAATTGCATTCCTCCTCGTACAATTCACATTTCTATGGACAAGAATAATTTGTATTATTCATGGTTACCTACAACTTGCAGAGTTGTCAAGTAGCTCAAAGACAACAAAAGGCAGAGTCCTTACAAAATAGGGGAACCTGGAAGGATGTGCTGGGCAACCTATTTTCCACTGAACGTACGTGGCAACCTTTTAGTTCACTTCAAAGTCTTGCACAATTTTGCCCTGCATTGGTCTAGTCGCAGAAATGTGCACCCCCCTTTTGACCCAGGCCCTGCCACACTGTGCCTCAGAGTATACCGAAAAAAAACCCAGTTATTCCTTCTGCCTATTTCCAGATTTGGGGTCATTTCTCTTGACATTCGGAACCTTAAAAATGGAAGCTGTTCAATAAGTGTTTGTGAGGCTTGGTAATACTTGTAGGTAAATTATGTAGTCCACATTTAGCTGTAGCAACTCTGAAATGTCTCTGGAGACTCAGACTGATAGGGGTGTGATGCCTGTGACATGAATATGGTATTTATAGAAATAAAGCTTTTTATAAACTTCTGTTCCCTTGTATTCTGTTAGCCCTGAGATGCCTGAAAATGAAGCCACCTTCACAATAACTGCTGGAGGAATTGGGGATGCCAAGGAGTAGGTGGCAAATTGATGCAAATTGCTTCTTAGTGCTTATTAGGAGCTGAAGAAATAGAAAAGCGGTCTGAAATTTCAGAACTTGAAGTAAGAGTTTGTTTTTTTCACATGCTATTAGAGGAAAGTCAACAAAAGAAATTTATAAATCTTATATTTATCCTAAAAGTCCCTGATGTATAATCCCTATACATTGTATATCAATTCAGGAATATATATATGTACACATATATATATTCCTACATGTGTATATATGAATAAAGCTATGGAAAACTACTTGGGAAGGGGTACCCGATCCCATCACTTTAGCTGTCCAAAGTCAGCCACTAAACAGATAGAAAATCTACAAGCTCAGACATCCCCCATTCTCCCACCATTTTCCCTTGAACACTTACAGAGGTGGACACACTTCCAAAGGAGGGAGCCAGTTAAGAAAGGAATGTTTACAGAACATACAAAAAAGCTTTTTTTTAGTTTACAACATCAAACTGTACATTCACCTCTATAGCAATGGAAAAGAAGTATTAAATTAAACTAAGTTCTAATCCATTTGACTTTTTGACGAGTTAAAATTACTTTGAAAAAGCATACTTCTGATACAGGCATATTTTATGGAGGATAAAAGAGGAAGCTAACTAGGAACTTTACAGTTTGGGGTAATCAATATAGCATGAGTTTTATATTTTAAGCTCAGGGTAGAGAATTCAAAATATTTTTAAAAAAATACTAAGGTTAATTTACATGTAAAATTTCTGAACACTAAATTTAGAAATGTGTAAAAGAATATTTTTTTCTGTTAAAAATAAAATCTGGTTTTCAGAATGAATGTATGATAAAAGTATTTGAAAATTAAAATATGAATAGTACTTATAATGACAATCTTTATAGATTTCAAAAAGATTTCATCTCTTATATTGCGTCACCTTGTATGAAACAGCAAGTATTGAAAGTACCATTTGTTACAAAAAGTATTTGATTATCTGTTCTCATTCACTCAGCAATGCTTGGAGCTAAAAAATACACAAGGAAAGTATGGTTCCTGCCCTCAAAGAATATGTACACTGGTTAAGAGAAAATATAATATTTATGAAAGAATGAAAGAGAGCAAATGATTATATAATTAATTTATCTGTAGTGTGGTCTTGGATTATAGGATTCCAAAAATGGGAGAGAAAAGGGTAAGCTGTGAGACAGCATGTGCAAAGGCAGAGAAGCTGGGATTTGGAAACAGAGACCAGCCTGACAAGCAGAAATTGTTCAGTATGGGGTCCTGGGAAATTAGAGCTTTTTTTTTTTTTCTTTTTACTTTTTTTTATACCACAGAAGCCACTTTCTGAGTAAGCAGAGATATCTAGGAACAGATTTTCTATATTCAGCAAAGTCACTTAAATGACTTTTTTTGGTATACAAATATAAATGCATACTTTTGTCCTGGGGAAGGGAAGATTTTGTTACTTGATAAAAACTGAACAACAGCTAAAGATTCCCTGGTATGCAGAGCACTGGAGGGGAATGGACTAATGTATGTAGGAGCCCAGAGCCTTTTGGTAGGAAAGGAAATAGAAGACCCAAGATTTGAGATTCAGAAAAATTTTCTGGATTAAACTGAGTAACCCCCTCACCAGTGAGAATTTACCAAAAGGTAGGCAGTATGTTTGGAAATCAGGGCCTAATCCAAGGGCACGCAGCCCCGCGGGGAGGCTAGTTATAATACAGCATGTAGCTAAAGCTGGAAACCTGTCTGGGTCCAGCTGCTCTCTGTGTCCTGCTTTGGAGAACAGTAGCTGAGAACTAAGGACAGTGAACTAAGAAGCTGTAACCTTGAGGCCCAACTTTGGGAAAGCAGAGCAGATTATGCAGTGCCCATGGAACTCTGCTGGGCCAGGGTTCAATTTGCCAGGGCTTTCCAGTCTGTACAGTTCACCAGACTGCAGAAACAGCTCTCACTCCTTATTCTAAGGGGGACAGAAGAGCTCAAAAAAGAGCTTGTATTAGTCAGGACTCTTTTGGTTGCAAGCCATCAAAACTCAAAGTAGCAAATGAAGATAGGAATTCATTGGCTCATGAAACTGAAAAGTCCAGAAGTAGTGGTGACTTTAGCCATAGATGGAGCCAAGATATCAAACAGCATCATCAGGACTTGCTCTCCCTACCTCTTTTTCCTATTCTGATCATTTCCATGCCGCTGTTGTTCTCAGACAGGCTTTCCCCACATAGTAGCCAAGATGTTGCTTGTGGCTCTAGGCTTACATCCCACTAAGTTAGAAAACCCACTAGAAAAAGCATGCGTTTTTCCTCCATAGAGCATTCACTCAGTGGCAAAAACAAACAATGACTATCAAGTAAGAACTGAGGTTATTTATTCGGAGTTGCTACAGCAAGAGAGTCAGTGACCTCTATTTAGTTTTCGTAGAGACTCAAAGGCAGGCAGAGGAATGGGAAAGCTTTATGGTAGAAAAAAGGAAAGGGTATAGGTGTGCTCTGATTGGAAGTTGTTGGCATTGAGAAGCTGGAGGATTAATCTGATGGAAACACAGAAAATGGATAAAGGACATAACACTGGCATCAGGGAGACAATTTAGGAAACAGTTATAAAAATTAAATTCTGAGATGGTATAGCCTGGGACTGGAGTAGCAGTGAAACAGACATTTCAAAAATGTGGTTCAGTAGGTTAAGTATGGGTGTGAGATTGAATAAAAACAGAAGAAGAGTCACAAGTGACTGTTGACAAAGTTCTCTAACCTATGAGAGGAGATTATATTTCTATCATGATCAGGAATGAGGAAGTGGCAAGTAGAGGTTAGGACTTTTACCTACTTTTACCACAAACCTACTTTTAAGGTTTGTGTATGAGTTTGCTAGGACTGCCATAACCAAATACCATAAACTGGATGGCTTAAACAACAGAATTTTATTGTCTCACAGTTCTGGAGGCTCTACGTCCGAGGTCAAGGTTGGTTCCTTCTGAGGTCCACAAGGGAGAATCTGTTCCCTGTCTCTTCCCTAGCTTCTGCTGGTTCTCTGGTGACCTTCAGCATTCCTTGGCTTGTAGAAGAATCACCCTGTTTCTGCCTTCATCTTCACATGACATTCTTACTATGTATATGTCTTTGTGTTCAAATTTTCCCCTTTTATCAGGATACCAGTCATGTTGGATTAGATGCTCACCCTACTCAAGTATGACCTCAATTTAACTAATTATATCTATAATGACCCTATTCCAAAATAAGGCCACATGCTGAGGTATTAGGGGTTAGGACTTCAATGTATGAATTTTAGTGGGGACAGGGACCCAAGCAGTTAGTAAGAATTAGGTACAGTCAGGGGTCAAACACTGTTGGCCATAACCTCCTCAGGAACTTCCCAGGGGTTATCTGAAATCAGCCCCCATGGGTGGAGGGCAGGGAGGGACTGAAGAAAGAGGCAGGCCACGCTCTTGGTGGGTGGCCATTTTAGTAAGCAAAGGGAACTTACACATGATGCTTGTCTTGGGCAACAGCAAGACAAGTTCAGATCCCTGCGCCTGCCCACCAAATCTTAAAAGTTCACGGAGAGGCCTTGACTGGCTTCAGTCACGTACACTGTGCAGGTGTTCTCAACACCATACCACTATCTCAAGTCTATCCTTAGAAAAATGGGAAAGATAAGTGAAACTCATACTCCAAGGAATGGGGTAGGGGCAAGGAACTCTGATCGCCTGAGTCTAGCTTACAGGTCAACAGGCATTCATGACTTCTTGATGACTTCTAACAAACGCCAGGATGCACAAGACACAATCTGTACTCGATACTGGCTACAGAAACATGTAAGTCAAGATCTAGGGAAACCTAGTATCCACTTAGAAAATGAAGAGGTTGAAATAGAATATCTCCACCATTCCTTTCTAACTTTCCTGTTCAATCATTCCTTAAAGAGCAAAGAAAAAAATAAGGCTAGAAAGCCAGATCAGAATAGGGTGGCCAAGCCAAAAACAGGGAATACAGTAGATTAGACAATTGAGAAGGGATGTCTTTCACGGCAAAAAGAGGGATTGAGACCTTGGACACAAAGCTGTGCCCAGTCAAGTCTTCTCCACCTGACTCTGGCTTGAACGTAGTGAATGTTTCTAATTTTTTGATTGTACAGTTTCCATGTCTCTATTATAATAAGATCCTGGTTTTCTTTTAAAGAGTTGTGTCTCCCCAATTCATGTAGTCTGTCCTGAGACATTGGATACTGAGTGACAGTTGCCGAGGATTAAAACATGGGTTAGAAGCCACTCATTCGTGCAGTGACAGCAGGGTGGCAGGGCCAGCAGCAGTGTGGTGACCTGGCAGTCTGTTCCTGCTGCTAGACTGCAGGTTTCTGACTCCCAAACTGCAGTGTTGTTCAAACTCCTGTTCATTCCCCAGCTGGTTTTCCAGCCTCCTGCCAACCCAATGACTCCTAATGTCCTTGTGACAAATTACCCTTTGTTTCAGTTAGCTGGAGTTGGACTATACTACTTGCAATCTAGAATTCCAACCAAGGTGCAGAGAAAGTGATTCCCAAATGCTGCTTCAGGGAAATGGAGAAAAAGGAAGCCAGGGAGGGCTTGCTTAACACCCAGATGAGAGATTCCTCATTATTCATACTCTTCATATATTTTCCTATGTCAATCTTTTCTTGTTTTGTTTTGTTAAGCATGTTGCAAAGCTTGAACTCAACGACCCTGAGATCAAGACCTGAGCTGAGATCAAGAGCCACTTAACCCACTGAGCCACCCAGGCACCCCAGCCTTTAATATTTTAAAAGGAAAGTTGGGATTTTACTTAGCTGAATATAAAAGAAAAACTGAAAATAACAGTGTCTTAAACAAAATCAAGGTTTCTATTTCTCTCGTTAACAAGCAATCTGAAGCCAGGCAGTCCGGAGATGCTCTGGTGCCTCCATTTTGTCCTCGGGACCCCTACTTTGTCATCAGGCTTCTGTCTTTCTGCTTGACCATCCTCGCTCTTGGCTTCCATCTTCAAGGTCACCTTATGGCC